CCCGCGGGCGGGGACCATTTTTTCGAATGAAATATGTACTCAACAAATGTTCACGATTGACTTCCACGGTGAAGGAATAACATCGAGTAATAAAAATCAAACCCGCAAAATTATAATTTGCGTAATTACTGGTGATAGGACCTCTTGTGAGTCCGCGCGGGTAGGTACCGCCACCCTGCCTATTTCTGCCGTGAAACAGTAATGCGTTTCGCTTTGAAAGGTGGGGGGCAGCCGTTGTAACTATATTGAGACCTTAGAACTTATAATCTTAAGGTGGGTGGCGCATTTATGTTGTAGATGTCTATGGGCTCCAGTAACCACTTAACACCAGGTGGGCTGTGAGCTCGTCGACCCATCTAAGCAATAAAAAAGAAAATGTTCTTTCACACCTTGGATCGGAGTAGACGTCGGCGTCGAGGTCGGCGAGATGAGTGCGGCGGATCCGTTGGCCGTCATGGTGAGAAGCGGCATGGACGACTCGCTGCCCGCGGGTGCCGTGTCGGCGGCGCCTTCCATCTCCGAGGTATCAGCGTCGCCGAACCTGCTCGATAGAAATTTGAGATATCTATTGAACTTTAATATTGCATCTGCTCTTCTTCTGCTATAATAAACGACACTCACTCGTTTGTGGTCTGCTGTTGAGGAGTGAGCGAAAACGAATGTACTATGCCTGGACCATTGGCTGTGGATGATATTAATGACGGCTCTGTTTGGCCGCTGCTTGAAATGTCTGATCCAGGTTCTGCAGTGCTCGAGCTAAAAATCACCAAAATAAAGTGATCAATCTTGTAAGCTACAGTAGTCATGTTGGAAAAGAAGCTATAAAATTACCTTATTCCAGTGCTGAGTATCTCCTGTGCGGCACTACTAATGTCGTTGACATCATCACTGCTGGCAACCCCTCCTTCAGCTATATCTTCATCCATTGTACTTGATTCATCTATAAGAATGAAAAATGAGAAAATAAAAAAAATCTGGCTCAAAAATTAATAACATTGAAAATCCACTTTAGTTAGATAGATTTTGTTTCTGTAGTTAAAAACACTAAGTCATCCTGCGTACAGGGCAGAGTTACTCCAATTTATTATCATATTTTTTGCAATGTGGACAACTCATACAAAGAAAAAGGTTTGGTCACGGGAATTGATTCAAAATGCCTTCATATACTCTGCATAGCCCAAATTCCTAGTGTTTCACAGCAGAGAAGTACAGTGATCCTTCAAAAGTGCAGAAATGTACAAATATTGCATATTTCAATTAAAAAATATTTTTTTATTAAATGTTTCAATATTTATTTTTAATTAACACTTTCATTAAGTTAAACTCAACATAAAAAAATATTTAATTACCATCTTGAACGCTTGGTGCTCCTTCAACTTCACCTACACCACTATCTGTTGGTAGAATGGCAGAACTGATAGACTGATCAGGAGACTCTTCAGCATCACCTAGACCCTCTGCTTCTTCTGACTCTGGCTCCTTTATCATAGAATCTAGTTGATTGTCTTGATCATTTTGGGGCGAATTCTCTTCAGTATCTGCCTGAACATATTTTTTTTAAATTAATGCCTTTTTGCCAACAGTTTTCAATGTCGTAATAGGATTCAATTGCTTCAATTTAATTTTAATTACTTCAATTTAAAAAGCCACAATAAACTGTCTAATGATTGTAAAAATCAAACCAACTGCATTTTTTTATTCCTACCTAAGCTGATAGCCTTGAGAGGCTATGTCAGCGTAACCCTAACTTTAGTAGGTGAGCTCACGGGGCTCAAACCTGACGATGTTGCTAACACGAACCCTAGCAAGAGTCGTGCTTCGCAGAATCTACCACCGGATCGGAAACGCGACCCACTGAGAAGATCCGGCGAGAAACTCAGTGGGCTGTGTCTGAGAGTTAATNGCTGATAGCCTTGAGAGGCTATGTCAGCGTAACCCTAACTTTAGTAGGTGAGCTCACGGGGCTCAAACCTGACGATGTTGCTAACACGAACCCTAGCAAGAGTCGTGCTTCGCAGAATCTACCACCGGATCGGAAACGCGACCCACTGAGAAGATCCGGCGAGAAACTCAGTGGGCTGTGTCTGAGAGTTAATTTACTCGTCGAACCCGTCGCTTGCGACGAACGGTGACCGGTGCTTGAAGTACCTAAAAGCACCGTTAGTGGATCGGGAGGATCCGAGATGACGTGTTTTGGGCGACGTCGACTGCTTTCCATTCTGTCCACAGGATCGGGAATGTAGTTACCGGCGGCCACGATGAGAGGGTTCTCGTGTCGTGCCGCTTTATCGAAGTGGACCAACTGCAATAATCTGTCTACTACATACTAGTGTAGTGTGCCACAAACCGGGAACATTATAGTAATTTTAAATTTATTCTTAACAGCCAGATTAAGAATGCCCTATTTAAACAGTAATAATAGGAATGAATAGAATATACAATTAACAGTGGAATAGATTGCTGTCTAATTTTTCCTTCAGATTAGAACACAAGCATACTTTACAGCCAAACTATGACTCAACAAAAATTTGTAGAAAGAAAATAAGAAGGGATCAATCACTGCAATTATAAGAAATTTGCTGTTTTCTCTCTATAACTGCAAATACTGATAACTTTTAAATAACCTCTCATTAAATAACATAAATATGCATAAATGTGTAAAAATTACAATTTTGTTATACATTCTTGATATTTTGAGCTACTTACAGTATTGGGACTAACAGACTTCATTACTAAGCTCTAACAGCTCTAATGAGGTCTGTCAGTCCATCTTATCTTGCATCTAAATACTCAAGATCAATTAAACAACAAGTAGCTGCTTCTTAGAAATTAATTATTATTAAAAGCTTACTTCTTACAAATAAGAGGCATGAGTTAAGTGAGTTTAAAAAAAAAGCTTACAGGTGTAGAAAGACAATTATCTCCGATATACGCTGATTCCTCGTTCATAGCACCTGAAGCAGTTTCATCTATGTCCATTTCATCTTCAGCATCTGCATTACCTGACCAATATTAATTTTTATTCACATTAACTACCTTTTACATTTGCTACATTTTTGAGCAAGGAAATAAACGAATATTAAAATTTTCTCATTTAAAATTGATAACATTTTTTTAAACATCTATTTCTGCTAATGTTCTAATTATAGTCAGAGATGTTGTTACCTTGTTCAACTACAGGATGCTCTTCCTGAGCAGGAGGTGCAATAGAAGGCTCTACGTCCAAAACATCGCTGCTGCTAGTTGGACCACCATTCGCAGCTATATGATAGAAGCAAAATTACTAATCTACAGAAACTGGATACTGCAAAGCCACACATATCTTTTTTTATATGAAACATATAAATAAACGAAGTAAATAGTATCTAAGTACTTTCTACAATACGTAAAACAACGGTACCGATGCAAGCAAATCAACTAAAAACGTAAACGCGAATAACAACGGTACATATCTAAAAATGAAAATACAAACCAAGTTCCTCAGGCTCAGTGGTCACATCGTCACTTGCTGAATTATTGTCAGGCAAATCATCGATAGTATCGGCAACCTGGTTATCCTGGTTATCGGCTTGAGGCGACACTTCCGCGCCATCGTGAGAATCGCTGTGAGTAGCAGGGTCCGATTCCATTTTCGTGATCTAACAGCGTACAAACTGCACAGATTGTATATTTATTGATATTTAAACAACAATTGAAGAAAAACAATGAACATTTTCAGAAATATATCAGAAAACCTGTATAGTTTTGACACATCGCCTTTTTTCACCGAGTTTATTCTTTTTATGATTTTATGACATGGTAACTAAGACTTTTAAGTCGTGTCTTATTATAATTTATATTATTCATATTTTTATGAAAAATGATATTATGGAGTGATTTTTTTATTTTATTGCCTTTGTAGGCAGGCGAGCATACGGCCCACTTGATGGTAAGTGGTCACCGTCACTCATGGACGTCAGCAATGCCAGGGGCAGAGCCAAGTCGCTGCCTACCAATGAAATGAAATGAAGATGATTAGTTTGAGACACTAATCAACTGGGATGAAATTAAATGAAATGAATTGAGACGATATGGGATGAAATATAATCTTAGTGAAATGGTGGTCATTTACTAAAATTTTTTCAGTGGACTTTTTGGAGGATCCAGAAAAGTTACGTCCAGCTGCTTTGTTTCATTTTCCCACATTTGTGCACTTTCACAGATATTAAACCGTTAATAAACCACCATTATTATACATTTAAACCCGAAGAAACACTAAATAGACAAAATAAAACAAATCACACAACTTCACTCCTCGCGTTCCCGCCAAAAAGTCCCTTTCACTGAGTAGTAGGGCTGCCAGCATAGATTAAACACCTTCCAGTACAGCTAATTTATTTTGTACCGCTGAATAAATACAAGTTTGCTAGGTAAGTACAATCGTCTATGTAGTATGTATCTAATTATAAATACATTTTTAAGACGGTAATCAATGTATTGAAACCATACTTGAAAACAAAAAATTGTGTTTTTAGATCATTGCAAATACATCCCACGTAATTTAATTTATAATCAAGTGGCATGCAGGTTGACTTAGTCTCAAAATATTTTCACTAATAAAGAATTAATGATGGCAGTAAAAAAGCTAATACTTTCTGAACCAACCTTGAAGTCGTCGTGGCTTAAAGGATAAGACGTCCGGTGCATTAGTATCTAGCGATGTATCGTTGTTCAAATCCCTCAGGAAAGTACCAATTTTTTTAATAAAGAATGTAGGTACCTAACAAATTATGTTGACGATTGAGTTTCACGGTGGTGTAATCATCCTGTAATAAAACCCGCAAAATTAAAATTTCATCAATTTCCTACCTAATTGGTTTGAGATAAATAGAAAAATCATTTTCATTTCATTCTGATTCATTCACTTTTTTAAAACGGCTGATCTAAGTCTTCGACAGATTTGGCTGCACGGGGTACATTTTCTGTGCCTCTTCAGTGTATGCCCAATAATAAAAAAAAAAGTTAGAAAAAAATTTTTGAATCGCCTTACGACTTCCATTCATAGAAAATATCATATTTTGTAAACAATGTCAAAACCACACGATGATAAACCTGGCGAGGGTTTGCGATCTATGCGATCAACTACAGCATTTAGAGTGGTCAATTTTGAACTATACGCAAAACCCGTGAGTAAAAATTGTTCATGTACCCATAAGATTTACTTTCTTGACGCTGGTATTCCCTTCTTTAACTAAGATTTGTAAACAATCAAGTAATGAAAGGACATTAAAATCAATGACCCGGTCATCATTTTAATCTGTCTATTACATATCACACTGATTGATAATGTATACTTTAAGCATATTGAACCCATTCTAAGACTACCACTCAGATGTATTTTATGTTATAGTCTAAATAGAAGGCAGAGATGACAAAATTTGCACATATAGTTATTTTATGCTTCTCCATAACAATGAAAAGCAGTCATATAATAAATAGTAGTTTTGAAATACAAATTAAGAAAAGCAATTCATCATTCTTTTATGGATAAAAGTGAGTGCAACAATTCTACAACATAATTTAAACTTAGACCTTATGTCACAAAGCGGATGGTGGCATTCACATTATATCTATTGGCTCTGGTAACCACTTAAAACATTTTTTTGCTTAGATTTTATTGACTAGACTTTAAACATATAGACCAAACACTTTTTTTACCCGTCTGTGCAATAAATAAATACCAGCGAAATGCTATATTATAATATATAGTAGTAGTTGTATATTGTAGTTGACAATGGGAAACCTCTGGCAGCCATTTTAAATGAAAACTTTATTGTTTCAGAATATAGTCATAATGAGCATAGGACTGACATGCTTTGGTTTGGCTCTAGGATACATTGCATACATGCGACAAAAATATGAATCAATGGGATATTATTCTGCTATTGATAAAGATGGAAAAGAGATTTTTGAAAAGAAGAAATCAAAATGGGATTGAAATTATAGAATTTGTAAAAATTGTAAATAACTATTAATATATTGTAGTAATAAATAATGGTTAAAATAACAACAATTTTCCTCATACAAAAAAAGCACCACATAATTGAATTTGGGGATTTGAAACCTCTGGAACTTAAATGGGAAGAAGCTTTTAATAAAATAATACATCAATTGCAAGCACATAAATAATGTAACTAGTAGACATAGTTAACTTTCGTCTGCCCTCCATACTATCGTGTATCACTAATGTTGGTTTTAGTAATCCATCCAAATCAGCTAAGAATTACAGTAAATATTTGTCTCATTTAAATCTCTTTGTGGTCTAATTAAGATTTAACATCTAATAAGCTATTTAGAAACGTTCAAATATTGTTAATACCCCTAACAGTATTTTTATATGTACATGCAAAATTTTCAGCTGAGGCCAAGTGAGCCAGAATGAAACAAATTCACTTAACGTAACTTTTGGATCTTTCCAAACTATTTATAAAAGTCATCATATCAAGTGGTGAAAGGCTATTTGATTCAAGCGATTTTACAGGAAAGCCAATTAAAGTTTAAGATTTGGCAAAAATAGTATAGCAAATAAACTTCTTCAGCTTAATGTTCACCATAGTGAGAGAGATTTGAAGAAAGAGTTGCGGTCAGGAAAGCCCTTGGAAGGAGAGCCAGATGTTTTTGGCAAAAAAAGGTCTTTGTTGACGAACCGTAGATGGAACTGGTTACTGTCCTCGTCGAGCCCTTCGTCGGTTGCGACTGAATTAGCCCATAGACATAGCTCACTGAGTTTCTCACCGGATCTTCTCAGTGGGTCGCGTTTCCGATCCGGTAGTAGATTTTGCTAAGCACTGCTCTTGCTAGTGCTAGCAATACTCTCGGTTTGTGCCCCGTGAGCTCACCTACATGTCAAAGAGAAGCTGAAATAGCCTCTCAAGGCTATCCGCATACGTAGGAAAAAAAAGTGGATGAAAGTGTTTCCAGATAGTTTTAAACCATTTATTTCCCTAGAGTATTTTCTACAGAATATACGGTACAAGACACAAAGAAGTCCTCATTCATGTTTATATTTCATGTCGTCTCATTTAATTCAATTCCTTAACAATTTCGATTCCTCTTAATTCCTCCATTGCAATTCTTTCAACATTAATAAAATATTGGGCGTTGGCTTGATTACAATTAATTTAGCTGTACGGTTGGTGCTTCCTTTGCTTATTGAAATGAACCAATCAAACGAGAAAAACTTGTTTTGACTTACCAAGCTTAACATTATTTTATTAAAATTGTTTACATCGTGTAGTGTTAAATAATTTCAAAAAATGTTTTCTGCTTTGAAAAAGTTAGCTAGAAGCAGTGATGATCGGTGCCCTCCTCCAATGCCAATGTCTTCCTCGTTGCAGAAAAAGTTTTCTAGAGGAGTGCATTTTAATAGTAAATACACAGTATAAAATATAATTAAAGGTTTCTATTTCTGAGAAAAGTGTAAAATGTATAAATATTTTTATTACAGTGAAAATATTGATCAAAGGAGATAGAAATGTTGGTAAATCGTGCCTTCTTCAACGTCTTCAAGGCGGTCCATTTATCGAAGACTATGTTCCAACAGATCAAATACAAGTGGCTCCAATACACTGGACTTATAAAAACAGCGATTATATAGTGAAGGTCATCAATAGTAGTATTTTCCAATCAAATTGTATGGCTTATTTACTAGTAGTCCGAAAAACTGTCCCTGAAAAAATGGTTAACTGTAAAAAAAAAAACTTATAATATGTTAAGAAACCGCTCAAAAAAAAAAAAGAACAAAAATACGATCTAAACTCTCAAATAGTAAAGTATAGAGATATACAGCTTATGACTTAGTTTTCACTGGAAAATAATATTTTGTTTTCCATTATATCCATATAATTTTATTATTAGGATCCATTATAAATGAAGTTCAATATAAGCATATAATAATTTGAATTTTTTTATCTATATTTTACTGAACTCTAAGGTTTGCATGAAATTATATATCATAATTGCCATTTTTAACTAGGTAGAAGTTTGGGAGGTTGTGGATAAAGGACGTACAAAAAAGAAAACCCCAATAGGACTGAAGTTAGAAAATCAATCAGCCCCATCATTAGAGGACAATCTCGATGCTCCTGTACTAGATGCAACCTTTTTGGATGTCTACAAAAATACCACTGGTGTTATACTTATGCTTGATATAACTAAGCCTTGGTAACTATTTTATTTTTAAGACACTGATAGATCAGAAATGTATGAAGATGTATAATTGATATTTATTAGAACTATCAGAAATGCTCCTAAATTATGATTACAGGACATTTGAATATGTTGTGAAAGAACTATCACAAGTACCTGCAGATTTGCCAGTTGTTATCTTAGGAAACCATTGTGATATGCAGCACCATCGCCAAGTGCATTCCCACCATATTGAACAGGCTTTACATAATGCAAAGCAAATTAGGTAATAGTTTTATGTGTTTGTGAATTAATTAGTCAAAACTTACTAATGAAATACTTAGTTAAGTAATAATTTTATTGTTGAGATTTTATATGGATTAGTAGTATTTCTAATTTTATTCTTGAATTGAGGTTTAATCCATGAACTCTTTTCAACCCCTTTAATATATATCTTTAATATAACTTTTACTAATTATGTTTTCAATGACCTTTCATTCTTTTAATGATTAAAAATTTAAAACTTATCCAGTTTCAGCTTATGAAAAAAGACATTCTAAAATATTATTTTAAGTGGTTTTATTATTCTATTTTTTTTGTATTAAAATTTCACCAGAACAGCTCCAGTTCGTTATGCAGAATCGTCCATGAGAAATGGCTTTGGATTGCGTTTATTACATAAGTTTCTGAGTATACCATTTTTGCGCCTTCAAAAGACAAGTTTGTTAGAGCAACTACAGAGAAATCAAAGAGATATGGAAGAAATAGAGCAGGAATTAGATGAATATCAGGTATTAAATGGTTAAATGAATTAAGGGCTATGTTACAATTCTTAAGGTAATTTTTCACAAAAATTAAAGTTCATAGTTTGGGAAATTTATAGTCTAAGCCCCACATATATTAATAATACATAATCATTAATCAAAATTGTAAAATATCAGATTCCGTAAATTATTTCAATGTTATCAAGTCTGGATTTTTTTTATATTTATTGCCCTTGTAGACAGACAAGCATACGGCCCACCTGATGGTGAGTGGTTACCGTCGCCCATGGACTTCAGCAATGCCAGGGGCAGAGCCAAGCCGCTGCCTATTATTACCAGCAGAATAATGACACCATTTAAGGTTGCTATTATACAACAGAATTATTATAGACTCCTCACATATATTTTTTAGACTTATACATACATCTATATACGTATAACATATTCCAGAATTCAGAAGAATCACAGTACAACACATTCCTAGATCGTTTAACAAATAAAAGGAAACAGAACACTAATCAAGTTGAACCTCGACCAAGCAATGAACGCTCTCCTAGCATTGTACTAGGTGGTGGGAAACCCATAGTGCCACCCAGTGTAAATCCATTAGTGAGTTGAAATTTTAATATAAGTCCCTAAAATAATTTACTTATATATGAGAAACAAAAAATTGATGTCCCTTCACTGTAGTTCGAATGGTTATCGCATTCCAATTTCCTGAATAAATACAGATCTCACATGTCTTCATGAACAAAGTAATAATGTAGATATAACATTGTTTAAAAATACCTGTAATGACTTAAGTACACCCATACAAGTTTATATACTTATTTAATAAAAAAAACCAAATGTAGGTACTATGTACATCTCTTATATGTGTGTTCATCTTAAAATGTATGCAAATAAAATTCATACAAATTACAGCTGGCCCAATCTCTAAATCCATCAATGAAAGCACAAATACCAGAAGCTAAGCAAACTCAATTTGTTCATCCTGATCTTATAAAACCTAAGCAAACTGTAAACATGGACACGACGCCGCCACGCCTCCTCCAACACGATAGGTAAAGCAAAATAATATGCTTGGTTTCTATCAATTGTTAATGGTTTTATGGAAGCATTTAATCTTTTATAGAAAGTGTTTTTAAAAGATTGAATGATTTTTTTGTTTTAGTAATCAAAGCACACCTTCAGTCACAAATGCGGGTAGTTCTGTTGGAACTCTAGACGAATTTTATGCTGGTGCACTAGATAGTAGCTTCTTGGAGGATCTAACACCTTTGTCTAGTAGTAGACAGGAGATACAATTTGAATCGGAAAGGTATATTAGTAAAATTTTTTTTGACACAAGATTTGAATTATTATTCAATTTGAATTTTAAAAAACTACCAAAAGTTATTACTCCTTATAAGTTATTTACAAACCAGATAGTACATTTCACTCTTTTAAGCAATTCAACTTTGGTTGAATATTTTATTTACTAACTTGGTTTGAAATAACTTTTATTCTGTTTTACTAAAGTACGATTGATTTTTATTATAGTTAATAATATGCCACCTTTATCCCACATAAAATTTATAGAGATAAAACAGAATATTTTTTAATTTAACTAAAAATATTGCAGTGATGATGACACTACAAATCCAAAAGTTACAGTAGATGAAGATGATCTTGATATCGATACTTTTTCGACTGAATTGACACAAAAAACAAAGCTGCAACAAAAAGACCAGCTAGTGGAAACAGATTTACATAAAACGATTGAAAGAAATACAAGCCAAAAGCGAGAGAGTGAAACGGAATTTGAAAAGACATCAAATCCAGATATAAATTTACCTATATTTGAAAATAGACATAACATCCAATTGTCTTTGGATAATGACTTCCCTCTATGGAGTGGTGACTCTAGCGTTAGAAGATCACCTGAAGGTAATTTTAGACTTACTAAAAATGTTGTCTGTTTGTTAAATTCCTTATGGAATTGTTCATGATGCTATATGAAAGTGCAAGCGTGCAATGCAAATGGCGAGCGTTCTTACTATACAGAATTCTGATTTTTTATAGTAGACGGCGTCATAGTTCTTTAAAATTCAGTTTAATTTATTACTTAATCATTACTTTTTTATTGTTCAATTTAATTTTGTAGGTGGCGAAGATCCTGATGCCCTTAAAGATCCTGGTGATAAGGTAAGTCTGAAATTTGTGTGAAATTATTTGAGACATAATAGTGTTTATTAGGTTTACCAAACTCAAATGTTATGTTGGAAGTTTTTAGTTTTCATATTAAGCCCAGCTGCACTGGACATCAGAGGCCTATGTTCAGCAGTGGACAGTGGACAGGCTGAGATGATCATGATGATTAAATTAGATCAAGATCGTGATGGCAGTGGAGTATCTAAAGCAGTTCACTAGTTGTATCGACCATCGTTACTTGAAGATGAATGCAGATACAATATTTAAAAAAAAAACTTCAAATATGATTTGAGAACTAGATTAGTTAACGTTTTTTTTAGAGTTGAGGGTAAATAATCTGAATCTGAAATAACTGAATCCGGTACAGCCCACCGAGTTTCTTGCCAGATCTTCTCACTGGGTCGCGATTCCGATCCGTTTGTAGTTTCTGTGAAGCACTGCTCTTGCTAGGGCTAGTTAATAGTTATAGCAAATTATCTATCAATTTATCCACAAATTATCTACCTATCAATCCGGGCATAGTTGGAATAGCCCTCTAGGCTACCAGCGAATAGATAAGGGGAAAACTTTTTATAATATCTGTTATATTATGTCTGATTAACTGGAAAAATTGTATAGATATCAGATATTGATGTCAGTATTTTATTACTTTGATTAATGCAACTGGTGAAATAAAAATTATTTATTCAATTTTTAATAGGGCTTGTTATTCTCGAGTGTTATTTTAGTTTTTAAACTATCGTTACTTATTTCACTTTCAAAATATAAATTAATAAAACCATTATAACATTTTTTTCCGTGACATAGTTTTAAGGCAGGATCACTACTCGATCTATCTGTTTTAAATACAGTTGCCACGACCTAACTGGCAACTATCGATTCTCGGTTGGGGTCAACGTTCCTGGTATAGTCAACCTCTGGCATTGCTTATGGACAGCGCTGAAAAATTTCAATAGGTGACCTTTGTACACTCTGAAAAACCTCCCTTTTTCAGTCTGAAAAAAAACACCACAAGAAGAAAAAGTCCAAAGATAAAGACCGCGGCGACTACAGTGAGATATCAGAACGCAAAGAGAAGAAACAAAAACGTAAGAAGTCTAAAAGTGAAAAGAAACCCAATCCTCAGCAGGACTTGTTAGCGCCTTCAGGATCTGTAGACTTCGACTATGCAGAATATGATAGCATTTAACAAAATACGAATAAGTTCTAATAGCTTGTTTCTGTAATTGTATGTACTTAACAAAATCTATAATGCATCGTCTTTAAGCTAATTTTGTGCCTACCTTATTTTCTTTTATAGCCATACTATTTGTCTATTAGCTATAAGAAAAATGAAAATTTAATCCGTTTTGCGATAACATTCCAGCTACGAGATTTCAAAAATAGGAATAGTCATTTACATACAGTGTGTAACGGGAAGTAAACTGAAACTATATTCCTGAGTGCTTAGTGCGAGTTTGTTAACGTTCTCGATAGCGTAAAAGTTAACCCAATTTTGTGTGCAGTTGGAACAGCGCCCCTAGCGGCAATTGTACGCAAACGATTCCATTCCATACAAATTTTAATATGAGCTAACTTTTACGCTATCGAGAACGTTAAAAAACTCGCACTAAGCACACTGTACTAAACTTTATGATAACGCAAACACAACGGGCAGCCGCGTTCTCTCGAGACCGTATTATTCGCGTTAATTTATTTCTCATGGGTTGAATTGCGTGCCATGCAAAAATATTATTAAATTAAACTATGGAGTAACGATGTTATTAGTTACATCGTGTCTGGCGTTATTCATCACTTGCCTTAGTGTACGGGACAGTTCTTCAAAATCCTATACATATTTAAAAAAAACATTGAGCTTGCCATTTTATAATCATTTTCAAAGGCTACATTAATTATGTAATTGTTTTATAATTATCCTTAGTTAAATTTATAATGAAGCGTTCTAGTTAAACATCTCGAATATTATTTTAATATTTAGAAAATAAATTTTGAAATTTCAGTACATTATTGTTGATTAAATAATAGAACTAAGTATATACTTACGTTTGTTTGTGCAATAAAGAAATTATCTATCTATATTATAGTCATGAATCTTATGTATTTATTTGTATATATTGTGACTAAATTGTTCGTAATAGAATTGTAATTGTTATAACCTTCGATTTGATTGTCATGCCTTCACCGTCATAATTTATATTAGGTATAGATAGGTACCTAAATACCAAACATACCTACTGTAAGATCAGAAAAAAAAAACATTGTAAAAGAAACTAATCAGTATGATCTGCGTAATATTTTTATAAATATTAATTGCTTGTTAAATATTAAACATTTATATTGTCATTATTTTTATTTGAGTTTGTTTTAATTCTTTCTACCCGCTACCTTCTACCTAATCCTTTTTTCTCAAGTATAACAATTGACTTCTTGCGATACCATTAGTTGCCGGTGTCGAGTTTATAAAAATCTTCAATTACTAAATACCTACGCAGATATTCTGTTCTGAGAAAAATGATATGGAGCGAAATGAGATGAAGTTGACTCATTTCAGACTTTGGAATTAAATAAGGTCACTTTTAAATTATTATTAATTGAAAATTTCAGTGGGAGTTTTTTGTAAAACGTGAGAGGTCTTATATACTCTGTAATATAAGTTACTTTATCACAGTAATTTTCGTACATTCCAGTTAAAGTTTCGCAGTTCAATTTTAAAGGAATTAATGGGACAAAACAATTTGTCAACGCAAAATATTTAATAAATACAATCTATTGAAAATTCAAATGTACAACCACATCGATATTTTATTGGTTAGATTATAAAAATTGGACCCCGTGCGAGAAGTCCACGTAGTAATGTAACAATATTACAAACAAAAATCTCTACATAACAGAACTTACAGATATTAGTCAACTTTATTTTATACAAACTATTGTACATTATTAACTAACGTAAATTATACCTTAAATTTTATACATTCTATGTATAGATGATTTAATATTTATATTTTTTTAATAAGTTAATAAAACTATTAAAATATTCTCTTCAGTTAAAACATTAGGCAATTAATAAGGCTAATGGGGGTGTTGAGAAGGTATTTTTGGCTGTTTATAGATTTTGCGGACTACAATTAAAAATTTTAATATTTTCGATTGTGTTATTTAAATAACAATTTGAAATACGAACAAAGCACTATGTACTTGCTTTAGTTTCATTTAGCAAAATGTGATGAGAAATCTCTGTAACACGTTATAATACATTTGATTTCAAGTATAAAAATAATTTTCACCTAAAATATTTGCAAAACGTTAGTCATGAAATTCCTTAATCATTAAATAATAATCATACAATTGACGATTATTTTGGCCAAATATAGCATTTTATTTATCGCAAACAAAAAAAGAATAATTGCATACATGATTTTTTATTATTAAATCCAGAAGAAGCCATCAGTTTTGATTGACGTGTGAAATAATTTACATTGGATTCATGATAATTTGTAATATATTTTTTTATGGATTTCTAAAATTTGTTATGTCAAAATTTACTAACGTGTCAACAAACATCACGTACAAATAACATTTATTTATTCGTGATATAAACGAGACGATAGGTACATATAAAAATTACCAATATTTACATTTAATGCTTTGATTGCTGCTCCATTACAAGCTGCTACTTCATTATGTAATAAACATTAACTAATTTGTTACTGTCGACACGATTGTAATAAAACTTAAGATAATGTTACTTTTTTATTATCTAATTTAAAAAAATATATTGTTGTGCAAGAAGAATCCGTATCTTGTGAAAATTCCAGCTTTCAGTGAATCTGTTGTTATATTTTTTTTTGGAATTGATTTCTTTATTCTCTTCACAAACAACTGCTAAATAGACAATAATACTTCATTACAAATGATCGAAAAATTATTATTATGGAACAGAGTATATAAGTTTTAATTCGACGATTTATGTTATGACATTCCATCAATTTGTGTATTCCACAATGTTGTTCTCCGATTGATTGAGTATAGCGAAAACATACAAATTTAAAAGTTACTTTCAAATTAATTTAAGCATTTTTGAAATATAATTTTCAATATCAGGCATGATGTACTACTCACTAATAAATTAGAAAACGTAGAGCGTGTTTTTAGTTGCACGAGGATTTAATTTATTTATTTCTATTTATTTAAAAAAATAATTTAATGTCTTAGGAAATAAAAATGCCGTGCACAGTTAACTTAAAAAAACCGTTGGAATTTAACAATTATTAAAGTACATGGGATCGTTCAGTATTCTCTAAAAATGTTATAACTAGTCAGGTCATAAGTATTGTCACTCAGTAAAAACTTTTCTTTTAGAATGCTGGCCACAAAAAAGTTTATTGAATTCGAATTTCGAATTGTTCATGAAAATAAAAATGTACCTATACTTTTAGAATTTTACTCATTTTTAAATATGGAGTGGACGCTTAAAGAAGACCGTGTTGCAGTTATTGCGTTGCATCGTTGCGGTTACGCGCCAATTCAAATTTTTAACATACTGAAAATTTTGAATATTACCGAAAGATTCGTTTATCGTAATGAAAACGATACAATGAAGACTCTAGTGTAGATGACAGGTCAAGAAGTGGTCGCCCTCGGTCTGTTAGGATTCCAGCAGTGATAAAAGCTGTGAAGGCGCGAATTCAAAGAAATCCCAAACGTAAGCAGAAACTGTTGGCCCTTCAGATGGGGTTAAGCAGAACCACGGTGAAAAGGGTGTTAAATGAAGACTTAGGGCTTCGGGCATATCGAAGAAAAACAGGACATCGTTTGAATGCTCGTCTAATGGACCTGAGACTGAAGAGATGCCGCGCTTTGTTGAAGCGGTACGCGGGAAAAAAATATCGGGAAATTCTTTTTTCGGATGAAAAAATTTTTACCGTAGAAGAGAGCTACAACAAACAAAATGATAAGGTGTACGCACACAGTAGTGAAGAAGCGAGCAACCGTATTCCGCGTGTCCAACGAGGTCATTTTCCATCCTCGCTCATGGTATGGTTGGGAGTTTCTTATTGGGGCTTAACAGAGGTACATTTTTGTGAGAAAGGTGTAAAAACGAATGCAGTTGTGTATCAAAATACAGTCCTGACGAACCTTGTGGAACCTGTTTCTCATACCATGTTCAATAACAGGCACTGGGTATTCCAACAAGATTCGGCGCCAGCTCATAGAGCGAAGAGCACACAAGACTGGCTGGCGGCGCGTGAAATCGACTTCATCCGGCACGAAGACTGGCCCTCCTCCAGTCCAGATTTGAATCCGTTAGATTACAAGATATGGCAACACTTGGAGGAAAAGGCGTGCTCAAAGCCTCATCCCAATTTGGAGTCACTCAAGACATCCTTGATTAAGGCAGCCGCCGATATTGACATGGACCTCGTTCGTGCTGCGATAGACGACTGGCCGCGCAGATTGAAGGCCTGTATTCAAAATCACGGAGGTCATTTTGAATAAACTTTAGTGTCATAAGAATCTATGTTTTGTTAAGTTCATTTTGGTATATGAATGGTTACATAATGAATAAACTTGTTTCAATTATTTTACATTAAACATGTGACAGAATTTATGACCTGACTAGGTATATTTGATTTCCACTACTTTATGAAACTGTAAATACAAATAAAAAATGTGAATGTGTGAAATTTTGATAAAGCCAAAAACAGTTTTATGATGATGTATAAATTATACAAAACTATTCATTACATTAATGAAAGAGGGATGTCAGCAAGGTTTAAAAAAAAAAATGTTTTATAGTTTTTGAACATAAAGATGATTACAGACTGTGAAATTGACCGAGAAGTATTGCTGTACAAATAAAATTTACATTTCCCCACTTTAAAATATGCACATTATTAAACCTCATTTGAGCCTATTCTAATAAAATATTTTCAACAATATAATATCCATTCACACATCAACAATTTCTAAAATATCTAATAATGCAGAATTGCATTTAGAAATTTAAAATCATAAACAGTGATGTTATTCAAGAGACGAAGGAATGTTTATTGCTGTTTTGTAATTGTTACTTCGAGGGACCATAATTATAACAAATATTAAATTATAACTACTAAATGTCATTTAATTTCATTAACAACAAATGACAATATGTGTTCAAATAAATATAACTATTTTGGCCTCAGTGAAAAAGATTTTGGCATACAAATAAAGACTCATTTTAAACTTAACTCAGACGACAGGGATATTCTATCTATGTCGATGATAGTCTATCAGTTAATTAACTATTTTAATGATGCCTGCGAAACATACTGCATTTACTAGCTTCCTTACTCTTATGTTCTAACTACATAATCTTATTTACAAACTATATATAATTGTTCAATCAATTGTAATTTATATCACCCTAGTGTTCGCTTCATAGAAATATGCGTTTTCGAACAATACAATGTCGTGAATGTTGATATTATTCGAGAAACTATACTGCAAGCACTTTAATACGGTCAGTCGACGCGCGACGTTTCCGAGAAACCGTCGTCCAAGAAGTTTGATAGCGATTGCGTCTGATGTCCCAGATGATGAGAACTCAACGAATCAAAATTAACGTTTTGCTCAACAAAATGATTGTGCACGGCGTGCGGGGGCTCGACGCGGAATTGTCCCACACTCCACGGATCACTTAAATTGTCGTTCAGTCTTCGAACACTAGATTCAAACGAAGGCAACTCGGTCCAAGGCCGCGGCGGCGGCGTGTTCAATGTCGGCGCGGAGGGAACGTTCTCGCTGCGACCGGACACGGTCGACGGCGGCTCTGCATTGAACGAAGGCGTACCCCACACTAAAGATTCTATCGTTGAAGTGGGAGTGACGGCTGTCTGATTAAACTTTTCAATTCCCCAGCTGTTATCTGGAAGCGGTATGTTATGTAATAAATCGGGAACTTTGGAAACGTTCCGTGCGTAAAGTTCAGCACTTCGTCCGCTCATCGAAGTGCGGGAGGTCGGACCTCTGTCGGGGCTCGGGAGGTGATAGTCCGGTCGCATCATTGGACTGTAATTACCGACGCCGGGGCTCTTTTTATTGCTGTAAACTGTATTATCTATGCTGGGTCTCGGCGAATACGGACTGTGATGCAGTCGATCTTGTCGCGACATAGGACTGTATTGTCCGGGGGTTTTGTTTGGATTATTTCTTAAGCTGTCAGCTTTCATACCTATGCCTGGATCCGGACTGGTGTGGGTCGACGGATGAGGAGAAAACGGCGCATGATGTTTGGGCATTGGGCTGTAGTTGCCCGTGTTCCAAGCTCCCGACTTGGGCAGATCTGGCTTGACTATTTGACTAGTGTCGGGACTGGGCTGTGCTGAGTACGGACTAGGTTGCGACGAGTACGGGCTGGGTTGTGCTGAGTAGGGACTCGGTTGAGTTGAATACGGACTAGGCTGGGCTGGACTCGGTTGAGCAGAGTATGGACTTCTTTGAGAGGAAAAGTGATTGTCTTGTCTGGGCATAGGACTATAATTCCCGTAGTTCCAAGTGTTGGGATTCTTTATGTCCTGTTTAACACCCTGTACGTCAGGACTGCGTTTGTTCGTGTTCTCGAGGGACGTGGTCGGACTGCATTGTTCTATCATTTTGTTGTGCTTCATTTTACTACTGCTATCTATTCTATTGAGAGGACTCGCTTCCGACTTGTAGGTGGGAGTTGATTTGAAAGTGCCCAAATGCCACGAATTGTTCTTTATTGTCTCTGTCTGTACATCGGGGCTGTTCTGAACTTGACTGTCCGGTTTTGGCACGGGACTAAAGTGGGGACTACCAAAATCTGATTTCGATTCTGACCTCGGCGTGGACGAGGAATCGGGCCTAGACTGCGACATTGGACTCAAAAGTTTCGGAGTAACGTCTCTGGTGAATCTCCTTTCCTCTAGGACGGAAGTGGCAGAATCAATACTGTCTTTGCTTGTGAATAAATCACTCGTCTTACTATTTATGGTTTTACCATCAATAGAAGATTTAGAAATGAATTCTAGGGATGAAGAAAGTTTTTCACTTAAGCCGACGTCGGAGAGACTTTTGGGTTCTTGGAAATGGAAAGATTTACTTTCGCTTTCATTTAGAGAATTTGAATCAATCTTAGTATCAGAGGCAGATGTGAGATCACCGCCTGTTTCCTTTGCATCAGTATCAGACTTTGAATCTGGTTGAGTCTTTTTTGTTCCTTTTTTTGGTGTCGTGGTTTCAACGTCTTTCTCTTCTTTCGCTTTTATTTTGACGGGATCGAAGCTATCTTTGAGATCTTGCAGTTCTTTTCCCGCATACGACCGTTTCATCCCCCTAGGTAAGGCTCGACAGGAACTGAGGTTCAAATATTCTAAGTGCGGACACCTGAGCAGAACTTTCTTCACCGGTTCCAATGAGACAGAAGAACCGCACAGATTTAGTATTCTAAAACAAATATTTCATTAATCCTCAACCGAGTTCATCATATTCACTGATAAATAAATGTCTAGATACGTAGTTTTAAACTAATCAAGTTTTTCTAGAATAATTCTCACTACTTCCCCATCATCTACAGTGGTTATTTATAATATAAATTAGTTCCGGTTTGAAGGGTGGATGGTCGTTACACCATTGCCACTGAAACTTCGACCTTATGTCTAAAGACGTTAGACATTAGACTCTCTACTGTGTGGGCTTATGGGCTGCATGGACTTTAGTGATCGTTTAGCATCAAAAATGAACCGTGAAAATCACGTGTTCTTCGGATAATATGATTTATAACATACAGAAATGGGAGTTCACCTCACAGAGGTTGGTTGTAAAAAATTAGATTTTATAGTTAGATCACCACCTCCCATATCGTATCGTCATAGGATATGTGATAATTATAGGGCTACGATTGCGTTAGCAAATTGGTGTAATAAATTTTTCGCGACTATCAAATATTCAAAAATACAGAAACTAATCATTTCTTGCCTGTTATATAAACGTTATATCGAAAGTTGTTTTTCAAAATCACTACATAGTATAAAACAAAGTCGCTTTCTCTGTCCCTATAACCCTTTGTATGCTTAAATCATTAAAACTACGCAACGGATTTTGATGTGGTTTTTTTTTAATAGATAGAGTGATTGAAGAGGAAGATTTATATGTATAATAACATCCATCAAATAGTGGAGAAATCAATAATAAATTAGTTTCCGAAGCGACGCGAGGCGGGTCGCTAGTGTTGTATATAGAAACTTCAGACAAAAGGTTTTTTTCTTTTTTTTTTCTTAAGTGGTTGGACGAGCTTACAGTCCACCTGGTGTTAAGTGGTTACTGGTGCCCATAGACATCTGCAACGTAAATGCGCCACCGACCTTGAGATATAAGTTCTAAGGTCTTAAGTATAGTTACAACGGCTGCCCCACCCTTCGAACCGAAACGCATTACTGCTTCACGGCAGAAATTGGCGAGGTGGTGGTACCTACTCGCGCGGACTCACAAGAGGTCCTACCACCAGTAAAGGTACCAGGTAGGCGATAAACAGATAATCGTGAAGACGAACCTCAGTTTGCTTGTGGTGGAATCAGCGAGCGCGGAGACGGCGTCGTCCAGCACCCGCGCCGCCGACGCCCACGACAGGTCCAGCTCCAGCAGGCTGTGCGACCACTTCTCGCAGATCAACTCCAGACACGCGTTGCTTTGCCTCGTCACGTTACAGCCTGATACGAATTACGTTCGGTCCATTAAAAGGTTGGCATCGGACTACTTTTTATAATAAAATACAATCAGTAACAATGTGATTTAATACAAAAGATCTTTAAGTATTATAAACTGTCTACTGTCGTTGCGTGCAACCTCTTTGACAGGACATAAGAACTACAACGACTAGAGATAGACACAGACTAAGACAGACACTTGACAAGAATTCAAAAATAAAGAGTGAAATGGAACGAGGGCGTACGTGACTAGCAGCAGGCAGTACATTTTTTCACTTCCTTAAAGACGGACACAAACGAGATGACAAAGAATGAATTGACCGTTCTCATATGTACTGTATGCGCGCGAGTTCATGTCTATCGGGGCCGGAGCGACGCGCGGGGGACAGCTCGCCCCACCTTCACCCACCTCCCCGCATTTGTCTGACGTCGAGTGTTGTCCTTGACGGTTGTGACGCGCGCTTATCGATATCGAAAATTTACACTAATGCTATTGTCTTATTTAACCATGACTACTCCGCTTCCAACAAGTTCAGATAGAAAAAACCTACTAAAAAAAGATACATACTGATTCCGACTCTGATCTGTCGGTTGTCTTTTCATTTGATAGTGATTGAATTGGAATTTAAAATATATTTTTCTCTATTAGAAATAAACAAATAATTACTTATCACATTTATTTTATTTTATAAATTGCAAAATTAGGGGCCATCCATAAAGTACGTCACACGTTAATGGGGAGGGGGGGTATCACCGAAGTGTGACATCGTGTGACAAGGGGCATGGGGAGGTCAATACTTTTGTGACGTCAAATGTTAAAATTTAAAATACTAAAACGCAAAGTTTGTATGTGAATTAAAAATTTTAAAAATTTACAAACTTGATCTATATTTATTAATAATTTAGCATTCTCGCTATGCGATAATCTCTCATGCAACGTCATTTAAATTCTAGAGCGGCGTTGTAATGCAAGTGAGACACTCAAATTAGGATGTTCCTGACGTTCAAATTCAGAACGAAAATGAAGTGCCTGATTTACCAGTAATAGCTGATATAAAAGAGTGGATCCAAAGTCCATGGACACTCGATAATTAAGTTTTTGAAGTGAAACTTCCTTATCGGCGTTGGAAAAAAAATTACCGTCACATTTTTCGGTTACGCGTCACATTTTTCCGTTACGCGCCATCTTTTAATTAACGGCTGTATGTTCTGAAGTATGGATGCGCATTTGAGAAACCGACCTCATGTCTCAAGGTGGGTCACGGAATACATTTTGTAATTGCAATAATCCCAGGTAACCCACTTAATATCACGTGGACCGTGCTATTATTGTTATTACGTAAAATAATAGGAAGAAAAGTACCAGGGTATTATGATATCAAAGAGATGTATTATTATAACTTTACTCTGACGTACAGCCTTCTTTATTAATTAACGGCTGTATGTTCTGAAGTATGGATTCCGATTTGAGAAATTGACCTCATGTCTCCAGGTGGATTACGGAAATCATTTTGTAATTCCAATAATCTCAGGGAGCCCACTTAATAATATCACGTGGACCGTGCTATTTATTACTGTTATTACGTAAAATAATAGGAAGAAAAGTACCAGGGTATTATGATAGCAAAGAGATTTATTAATAATTAACGGCGGTATGTTCTGAAGCATGGTTTCGGATTTGAGAAATCGACCTCATGTCTCAAGGTGGGTCAAACTTCACGAACCTCAGGAACCCCATTTAACACCACGTGGACCGTGCTATTATTATTAATTTATAGGAAGAAAAGTACCAGGGTATTATGATATCAAAGAGATGTATTATTAAAATGCTGTAATAATCTTAGTAGCAAAAAGGTAAAGTGAAATAATTGTATTATTTGTATTCATGTCTATGATAATAAAATCCTTTTGTTTAAACTTTATCTAATTTAACTTTATTTAACCAATTTCTAGAAAGTTGCATGTAGATCATTTTTCGAAAAATAAGGCCATAAACAAGTTTCACTTCTTACGTGTGTACACTAGTACACGCACACATTTTTTTATCTTTAATTAATATAATTAATCGTTTATTATTTTCTAACTAGTCGTTTGTTTTTTCGGTTTTATGAAATGTTGAACTTTATGTTGATTTTATTAGATTATTATTTAATAAAAATAAGTAAAAAATGAAAATAGCTGTTTTCTCTCGATTATTTTTAAATACATACATAAATTTAAAAAATGTGTGACGTCACATCAGGAGGGGGGGGTTATAAAAATGTGACAACCTGTGACAAGGAGGGGGGAGGGGTTCAAAAGTCCTAATATTCGTGTGACGTACTTTATGGATGGCCCCTTACCTTAAGTTATATTAAACCAAATCGACAGCTGTTGACTAAATTGGTAGTTATTATCGAAATTACCATAATTAACTAGGTCACAGCACTACCACATTCTTCAGGATGGACATGAACTCGCGCGCCTACTGTAGTCATCGGAATACTTTTTATAATAAATTACAGTCAGTAACAATATAATTTAATACAAAGGATCTTTAATTGTTTAAAACTGTTTTTAAACTGCAACCGTGACATGTTGTATTCATGGGTTCGAACAAAGTCAGAAAAAACTGGTTACAATTAAGCTGACCTCCAAGGAAGAGATGCTGCAGGTCCCAGGCCGGCACGCGCACGAGGCCGGAGTCGGACAGTCGCTGCAGGCCGCGCAGGTCCAGCAGCCGCAGCCGCGTGGCGCCGCGCACCAGCCGGCTCAGCGCGTCGTCCCCCAGCCGGTACTCGCCCACCGCCACGCGCTCCGCCGCCGCCTCGCCCGCCACCGACAGCTCCTCCAGCTGCGTCCAGCCGTCCGTCTCCATCTGTGTCGTGTCAACACATGTCTATACTATCGCGTCTATACTTCTTTCTTTCACTAGTGGTAGGACCTCATGTGAGCCCGCACGGGTCTACCCTATGCGCCTATTCTGCGAGTGTGAGGATTATGAGCAACATTCCAGCTCATCCAGGAAGTTACCCAGTCTCTTAGAGTCTGACCGCCCCAAGGAGCGACCTCGATAATGTATCATGTCCAGTATACAACAACTACCGTGCACTTTTTTACTGGTGGTAGGACGACTTGTGAGTCCGCACGGTAGGTACCACCACCCCGCCTATAACTGCCGTAAAGCAGTAATGCGTTTCGGTTTGAAGGGTGGGGCAGCCGTTGTAACTATACTTGAGCTCTTAGAACTTATATCTCAAGGTGGGTGGCGCATTTACGTCGTAGATGTCTATGGGCGCCAGTAACCACTTAACACTAGGTGGGCTGTGAGCTCGTCCACCCATCTAAGCAATAAAAAAAAAGAATTTACAACTAGCCGACCTGGCAGACTTCGTAGTGCCTCAAAAACTTTTCTATAAAATAAACATAAAACAAACAAAAGGAATCCGTCCGACGGGGGACGCATCAAAGGAAAAACGAAATTGTTATTTTTATTTAATTCCGAGCATTTTCATATTTATCTGTCTACCTTTTAAACCTTTTCTGGACTTCCGCAAATAATTCAAGACCAAAATTAGCCAAATCGGTCCAGCCGTTCTCGAGTTTTAGCGAGACTAACGAACAGCAATTCATTTTTATATATATAGATAGAAGATAGATAGATAGATTACTAGTGGACCTCCGGTAGTCGGAACTCTACTATAATTAATTGAAACTATAAGTTTGCACACGATTATGATATCGTCTTCTCGCATTATAACTGTATAATCTGAAAACTTACCAAATTTTACAGGAGTGTTTTAAAGGTTTAAAACATATGATATTTTTAATATTAATCATCTTTGCAACTATTTTTTAGTTTTTAGCAGTTACAATATCTGTCTTTTAAAGTAAGATAAAATTATATATTAATTTTGTTAGAAGTAGTCAAAATAACTAAACTACGCTCTTTTGACAGTATTTATGAGAAAAATACTGGTGATACGAAATTATTCTGAATATTAACTCAATTTCGAATATTTTTGGAAATTGTACACTTTTAATACGTAAACACACAACCCTCGTTTCCTTATTAAAATTCTTAATAATACACTATATTTAGTATAGAATATTATAGGAGACGCAATAAATTATCGCGAACCTGTTGTGACGTTGTCGCGGACGCCAAAATCAGTTGCGCGTTGGCCGCTCTGAAGACTCTCATCTTTGGGCAGCCCTTCTGCAGGGCTTCGAGGGGCACGGCCGCCGGGTGCGTCGTGGCCTGAGCTCCGGATATGTCCAACACTTCCAGATTCTTACAGTGCGCCTATAATTATTATTAAAACTATAGATTTGACGACGAAGGAAGGAAGATCTTTCGCCGAGCGGGTGATGTTGCTCAGTAGACCGACGCGACGCGGACGGTCCAAATGTTTTTTTTTTCCTACCTAGCTAAGACCCTTGAGAGGCTATTTCAGTGTAACCTTAACTAGTAGGTGAGCTCACGGGGCTCAAACTTGACGACGTTGCTAACACGAACCCTAGCAAGAGCCGTGCTTTGCAGAATTTACCTCCGGATCGGAAACGCGACCCACTGAGAAGATCCGCAGAGAAACTCGGTGGGCTGTGTCTGAGAGTTGGCTAAATGTTGTTGTTCGGAACTTGTTTATACGCAAGCTTATCTTGAAAAATGACGTAAGCGAGATTCAGGCATCTGTCAAATATCTTGCGTTGTATAATAGCTACCGCCACAAAACTTTAATTTTTTTTTTAATCTTCTAAGCAACATCGTGATGTTGTCTTTATGCATACATAAGAAATCTGAAAATATTCATTACATAGATGGCCCTAATACATAGTAACAATTAACATTGTCTATTTTTTAATAAGTTTATTTAAGTTAATGAAGCTATTATTCTATTTGTGAATTATAATGCATTGTGTTAAATTTATTGGGAAACATTTAGGGTTTTCAATGTGATTTCCCCGATAAGATTTATGCTGTATTACAGTTGGAAAAATACAAAAAGGCCAGAACGTGTAAATCTAAACTACGAAAACTTTTTAGTGTAAGAAACAATTACTGATGTGATTTGAAAGTAGATGAAACGAAAAAACTACACTAAAAAGAGATAAACGTATACATCTATTTAATTTTACTTGAGAGAGTATGAGATAGAATACCTTCAAAGATTTAGTACAACTATTTTTGTCGATAAATTAAAATGATAAAATAGGATATCCCTACATTATAGACTTCAAATTATTCACACACGTACGAAGAATCCTATATATATAGGAGAATAATAGGAAGAAGAATAGGAGGAGAAGAATCCTATACATTCCTAGCGAAGTAAGTGTCAAACTATCAGTTACTTTTATTATCAGAATAGCATCTATAATTTATTATGTCCTTATTTTTGAGTCATGCCATATTCATTTAAATCGGGACCGTGAGGAGGTTTGACCTCAAAACTTTTTGTACATCAACAACGAATGCAAATGTATTTCAGACATCCCACATATACTGGGTACCTCACACGTACATAGCACACAAGTGTTTTTATTTGGAGACACTGATTCCGACCGTTGAGTCCAACCCGTAATACAATAAGGTCTAACAACACACGACCGGCAAGGCGATGAATCAACTATAATTATAAATAACTATAACTGATGGTAGGATCTCTTCACTGGTGGTAGGTCCTCTTGTGAGTCCGCGCGGGTAGGTACCACCACCTTGCCTATTTCTGCCGTGATGCAGTAATGCGTTTCGGTTTGAAGGGTAGGGCAGTCGTTGTACCTATACTGAGATCTTAGAACTTATATCTCAAGGTGGGTAGCGCATTTATGTTGTAGATGTCTATGGACTCCAGTAACCACTTAACACCAGGTGGGCTGTGAGTTCGCCCACCCAGTTAAGCAAAAAAATATATATATGTTAGGAACGTAAACTTACCGCAACAGAGGAAAGTATCTGAGACAAGGCTGTGAACTTGTTGTTCGCCAGAGTGAGATGCGTGAGTCGCTCGCCGAAGTTTTCACACACACGTGCCATCGAAGCCGCCGTGAGACACGAACCCGAGCCGCCGGTTTCGGACTGCAATTAATTATTGTAAATTTATTTATTTACTAGCGACCCGCCCTCGCTTCGCTTCGGAAACTGTAATTTATTATTGGTTTCTCCACTATTTAATGGATGTTATTATACATATAAACCTTCCTCTTTAATCACTCTATGTATTAAAAAAAACCGCATCAAAATCCGTTGCGTAGTTTTAAAGATTTAAGCATACATAGGGACGGACAGATATAGGGACAGAAAAAGCGACTTTGTTATATACTATGTAGTGATTAATAGGTTAATAGTTACGTCATCTCACGTTTTACAGGCTCGATCGATGTCAAAACGAGAAATATAAATATCCAGTGATTGCAGTTAAAAGTGATGGCGACTTGGAAATTTTGTATATTTAACAAAAAAATTCTTATTAATGAAAATAACTTTATATCGTCGTTGTCAAACCAAAATCTGCTATGTGCACTTTTCGAGATTTTTACTCTTTGACCCTTTTGTATAGTTCACAGTCCTATCTACCGTAAAAAAAAACTGTTATGTATCTGTAGCTTTAATATTTATCTCTAGCTTTCATTTGATATAGTTCTTAAAAATTCACCTTCATATAAAATTTTATACGAAAATGTTTTTACTCGTTAATTCAAAATAGTTTTTGCACATAGCAGATTTTGGTTTGACAGCGAAGATATGTATTCATGTCGATTTATGCTCAAAGCTAATTTACATTTTGAGCAGATTTTAATTAAAAACAAAAAATAAATAAATAGAGAATTAATTTTAATAACAATCTCACCGCAAATGATAGATCCAATCTTTGTAAATTTGGTAAGGATCTAAGTATTTCGTACAGTTGTTCGGCTGTTATTCGACTCCAGCCTGCCACGCTGAGCTCGGTCAGGTTCGGGCAGCATTCCGCCACGCTCGTCAACACCCAGCCTATGTTGCAGACCTTCCATTGAGCTGTGAACAAGTAAACAAATAAATAATATAAACAAATAAATAGTATAAATAAATATATAATATAAATAAATAAATATTTAATAACAGTCACGCCACGTTAACTGGTCCCATGATAAGTTCGTAAAGAACTTGTGTTACAGGTACCAGATAACGGAAATAAATGTAAGATTTTTATTATACACATACACATATTTAATATACATCCATAGCCCTGGAAAAGACATTTATATTTATCATAGAAATATCTACCCTTGGCGGGATTCGAACCCGCGACCCCCTTGTGTAGTGACCATGTCACTTACCACTACACCAGACGGTCGTTGAAATGTTCTGTAATATCCATTAAGCAGGCGATTGCATGCAGCAGAGATGCGAATGTTGCGATCGATGTGTGGAGTAACGAGAATGGATAGAATACGGAATGAATATGTTAGAGAAAGTCTGAAAGTGGCACCTGTGTTAGAGAAGCTGAGAAGTGCGCGTTTGGGATGGCGTGGACATGTGATGAGACGAAATGTAAATGAGGTTGGTAAGAGAGTGTTAACTATGAATGTGGAAGGATATAGAGGAAGAGGTAGACCTAAGAAGAAATTGATGGATTGCGTGAAAGACGATATCGGTAATAAGGTAGTGAGCGAAGAAATGGTATATGATAGAAGAGTATGGAAGGAAAAAACATGTTGCGCCGACCCCAGGTGACTGGGAGAATGGCAGGATAATGATGATGATGATCCATTAAGCCTACTACGGACCACTATATGGCCACTGCTACAGATTGTAGGCGTTATTGAATATCAAAAAGTAACTTTCATAGATAAATGCAGGATTTAGTGCCATTCAGTATTCAATATAATACATTTGGGTCCATGTTTCGTTTTCGGATGAATATAACAGATCAACATTACAAATAATTTATTATATATTTGTTAAAACAAATCAAGGTTTATTTCGACTTAAAATACTCACCAATATTTAAGCTTTGACATTGAGATAAACGATTTTCGAGGAGCCAGACCAGTTTATAATCTGTTTTACATTTCTCGATCGTGTATTGCGCAAGATCAACGCTCTTCCACAGATCTGGCGTGCAACTAACGCTGTGCCATAATTTACAAACTCTACCTAATCTGAAATTAAAACAAAATATTATATATTTTAATGCAATATTATTACATTTTTAAAAATTCGCTATTTATGTTATGGTGACAGCTATTATTTAATATAGAATACCTTATTACAGATGGTAACGTGCCGAGTGAAGAGATCACATAATCAAATATCTTCAAAAGCACTTCACGAGGCATTGACATTCCCCATGGACTTTGTGGTCCTGTGTCTTTATTTTGCACCGCACTTATTCTATTTCTTTCAGTCTTTTCTTTTTTTTCTGGAAGCATAGTAAGCATTATCAACGTCTAGATTTATAGTCCGGTGATTTAAAAACAAAAAGCGGTGCCCCTGGCATAGCTTACGTCCATGAGCGACGTTAACCACTTACCATCAGTTGGGCCGTATGCTCGTCTGCCTACACAGGGAATAATAAACTGAATTTCATTATTCATCTGCTAATTATTAACGTAAAAATTTAGGGTTTTTAATATCACTTTTACTATTTTCAATTTCTGATTTCCGAAATTTCGAATATCGTTTTAAAGACCAAGTTTTAATTGTGCCAACGAATCACGAAAACCGATTAATTTACTCTTTATTTGCATGCAAGGAATAATTTCCTACAATTCACGTAATGGAATTATATAGAACGAAATCACGTAGCTTGCCCGAGACTTACACTCAGTATTTAGTTGTTAGTTTAGTAAAAAACAAGTGACCGCAAATCAGGCGCGTATGCTGGAATTTCCATTTACCGAAAAAAAAAGGAAAATGTAATAATATACATACATACATTTTCCATAGCGATTTTGTAGTTATCATATTATAAATCACATTAACTACCATCACTATTTGTTTTCGGAAACTATTACAAAACATCCGGTACATATACAAAATATTTAGGTAATTATTACGTAATAATATTTTATTACAAAAACTGATAGTTCCGATATTCATTAATACGTATACACATTACGTAATACATTCGAAGCAACACTTTCTCTATGTTGACTAATTAAAATGTTATTCATATAGTTCCTTACTTTTATTGGTGTTAGATTTACGAGTCTTGGGAGTTTTAGGACGTGGATGCCGGGGTTTCGGTGCGGCGACACTCATGGCTGCTGCGGTATCACCGCGTGAAGGATCGTATTCTTCACCGGAGCTCTCACTGGCAACCGGTGAAATAGTTCGCCTCTTTTTAGACTTTCTCTGGCTAACGTCTAAGACCGGGACAGGAACTGGTGTAATTTTCTGGAATATTAATGTCAATTTTAATTTTATTAATCTTAAATGTTGAGATCTCTCTTAGTCTTTTTTTTTATTAGATTGATGTGTGGACGAGCTCACAGCCCACCTGGTATTAAGTGGTTATCGGAGCCCATAGACATCTATAGCGTAAATGCCGCCACCCACCTTGAGATGTGAGTTCTAAGATCTCAGTATAATTACAACGGCTGCCCCGCCCTTCAAATCGAAATACTGCTTCACGGCTGAAATAGGCAGGGTGGTGGTACCTACCCGTGCGGACTCACAAGAGGTCCTACCACCAGTAATTACGCAAATTATTATTTTGCAGGTTTGATTTTTATTACACGATCACCTTCACCGTGGAAGTGAATCGTGAACATTTGTTGAGTACGTATTTCATTAGAAAAATTGTTACCCGCTTACGGGATCCGAACACGGCTAGGCTAGATACGAATGCACCGGACGTCTTATCCTTTAGGCTACGACGCCTTCAATATTATTACTATTAATATTATTACAATATACTCGTATTGACTAACGAAAGTGTAAAATAAACGTTTATTAAGTTATGAACAGAATACGAAACCTAGTAAAAACTTGAATCGGGCTTAAAAATAATGAGGATAACGATACAATGCTTAGGTTTCATCAACAATCTTTGGATTGAGAGTTTCTAGAGGAAAAACACCCGATCGCCAGAAGATTCCTCTGTGTAGCATTCCACAACATGGATGCAAGTCTCAGACTATACTAACAGCATGTCGAAAAGGTCATGTACCGCATTCCCGTAGTTCAACACCAGCTATTAATAACACTCGCCCCTTACTATACCATCACAGCAAGCCCATTAGACTAATTGGTGCACTTTTTAGGCGCGCGGTACACAACTTCTGTCCGACTCCAGTGTGGAGGTCTAAATTACAAGGACTATTCCCAGTTTTAACCATTTGAAGCTAACTAGTGACTGCGACCGCTTGCCATCAGGTGTATTGCATGATTTTCAACCTTATTTAATATATGAAAGCTGGAAAAAATCTTAATCACACTATACATGTTTTCACGACATTGCAAATTTTATAATAATTTTAATATGTATATTTAAATTCCAAGTAAAATTTAAGACTAGGGCTACTGAGTAAAGATACAGGTACCATGATGGAATATCTCCACCATACCATTAAGAAACCATTAAAACAAGGTTTCTCTATTATCCATCTATAATATATTTCTATTTAGTATAATCATATTCATTATTATTTAAAACCACCTTTTAGATTATTGTATTAGCTTAGTACAAATTTATTAAATTATGTTAATTTATATCTTAAAACACTTGATTCAACAAAGTATAATTGATGAAATTACACATTCAACTATTGTAAATTATATACATTTAAACAAATACCAACAAATAATAATTGTAATTATTTCTATGGGATACATGTTTTATTAATTTAAGTCTAAGTGAACAGAAGGACCCTGGTGAAAAATAGATCTTGCAACCCACAGGGACATATGAGAAATTCACACATTGAATCATAAGAAATCAATTTCAGAGAATTAATTTTGGTAACAATATTTAAAATGGAAGGCACAACTGTCTTACTGCAGAAAGAGACAGGATGGTAAATTATGCATCTCCATAGCATGGGCAATATTGAAGTGAAAGTTGCTTATGAATAATAGTTTAGAAAAACAGTTCCATTATTTATGTATTTTTAATTAAGTAATCAGACTTGAGTGTCTGTGAGTTTTATTTATAGGAGTTGAAGTTCCCTTGCACAATCAAATTTGGAATGGGAAGATCCACAAGAGAAAGATGATATGATGATCAATTACTATCATTCTCTTGTGGATCTTTGTGGATCTTGAGAAGTTGAACTAGAACCTGATTATGAAACAAGATGACTCAGATTTTAATTTTATACATAATGTGCATGTAATACATTTATTTGCTTAAGTTTCATTATATTGTTTGAGTTGAGCTTAGGATACATGGTGTAATATCTTCCACCCTATCTTTCACACAGTTTGATAATTGAATTGAATGAATGATAATTAAATACTGAGAAAACTTTATTAAGTTATAATAATAAGTCAAGTAAGTAATTTGACTCCTAATTCAAAATCTAAAATCAAATAATAAAATACCTCTTTATTTACCAAATCATACCAATTTAATCAATTGTGTTTTTTTATTGTTAACTGTATTATAAGTAAATATTGAGTGGCTAATTACTTGATATGTGATAATAATATCATGATTTGGTATAGTATAGAGTAAAACCATAAAGATATAGTCAACTATTTATGAGTGAAAGTCAGATACTACTGCATGTGACAACCTGTTTTGTTTCTAGGCTGGTGGTACAATATTTTGAGAGACAAAACTTTTAGGTACCACCATCCTACCTATTTCTTCCTTAAAGTTGAAGTACAGCTGATATATTATACAAAAAACCTTTGGTCTTATGTTGGGTGGAGGCATTCACATTCTGATGTCTGACCTGCAGTAACCATTTAACACCAGTTAGGTTGGTTAGGTTGAACTTGTTTACCTGTCTAACCATAAAAAAAATTACATAGATATAAAAATATTTAATATGTTTATTTTCAGTTAAACTTAAATTATTTAACTAATACTTACAGGTTCATGTAAACTTGTTCTTCGTATTTTAATTTTAATAGAATTTGTATCTATAATTTGGCTTTGATAAGTGGTAGTTGACTCTGTCTTCCTTGCTTTCTTTTTACTGCGTGAACAAATATTTAACATTGAGCGGGGTTTGCCACTACAAGGTGTGATTGCATGAGTTCTTCTTTCTTTCGAATCTTTTTTACTCTTCTTGGTAGATAATTGACTAAGTTCATGACTATATGGTTTGCCACTTTGACGCTGCATACATATTACTGATGGTAACTTAACACTGCACTTGAGCACTTCATCGTCTGAACTTTCTTCTTGTTCAGGCACTTCCTCCACATCTTCCTCCTCCTCCTCAACTCGTTGTTCTTCCTCTGCATCTTGCATTTCTTCATCATAATCCCGATACTTACTACTACTCACTAAGCTTAAGTTTTTTCCACTAATAATTTGCACTGTATTGTTCATTGAACGAGTTCTATGTCGGTGTTTTTTACGTTTACTTTCTGTGGGTAGATACCCATTAAGAGTGGTATGTTTAGTATCTCGCCGGGAACGCTGCTTGTGTTTCTTATGGCGGGTTCTAGGAGGCGGCTGGACCCCATTGGCCTGAACCTTTTTATTGGCAATTTCGTCAATGCTTTGCTCGAAATCAGTCTCAAGCTTCACGCCAGACGCTGATTCATCAGTTTCTATTTCGTCTAAATCGTCCTTGGAAGAAGCTCCTAGTTTTGGAACCCTCACATCAGGGAACAGATCTTTACGGACGGTGAGCCTTGCGGACTCGTAGCCGCCATTCACGGGGCTTGACCGACCAGACATGCCGCCCGCCTCCCGCCGCCCTGACGTACTACTTCTACAATCCACTCACCTGTCCCGAGGTAAACAATCAATTTGACACATCACATTTTCACCTTTGAGTACGAACAAAACACAGATCAAGATTGAGGAAGTGAATACGTTGAATTCTACTGACAAGTAACTAGGGTGAACATTATCAAATCTTTAATTTACACTTTTTGTCTGTCCCAAACATCTTTTTCTCTTCACATATTCGCATTTTAGGTCATCCATGTTCATGTAACGTTGTGATTGCGAAAAACAAAGTACAGATCATTTTCGCGGACACGGAGACTTGATTTGATGGTTTAGAAACGCAAAAGGTACATTCTTTAGAACCACAATCATAATACACAGATATTTTTAATTATTTTGTTCACGATCAGTTGATGAAAACTGTTGACCTTGTTTAGAAGCTTATTATGTTTCAAATTTTAATCAACAGATGCAGACATTGTCACAAAAAAACTTTAGTTCATTTGTATGCAATAATCTTGTAAAAGCGTTATCTTCAATACTTTTACATGAAACCCTTAAGCTCACAAAAGGTTTCTATTAAGCTATAGTATACTTTAGTCAACGTAACCTAGTGAAATTTATATAATTTCATTTTAATATGGTAAAAATAATGAAATCAAATCAAAACGGGAATACATTGCCACGACATTCAACTTTTGTTCTGATTTGTACTACATTACAAACATAATGTAATACAATGAAATGTCAAATACTGTGGTGTCTATTCACGTATTTGTCTTTGGTGACGATAGATGGCAGTAGTCGGTCCTAAATAGAAATTCAATACTATGCTAGTTTACATTTGCTTTGTTTCTCTTTCTATCTGATAAATTTGTGATTTACTCATAAACTAGCATTAAATAAAATGAAAATTTTCTGATGTTTATGTTACTTTTTCGTATTTTATTATTGTAAATATAAAAAAGGGTGCTAGTAAATGAAGCTTATTGTAAAGAGTTGGCATGACGTTCATCAATATTGATAATGATAACCTACACGGGCTACACGGTCTCTGTTTCAGAGTACATACTTGGTGAGTCATATTTATATTTATTACATTTGTTGTATATACTTATCGATGATCTCATACATAAAAAATATTGTAATACTGTTTTACACTTCATTGCCATTCTTACTGTGTCTGAATGTTTTTATAGATTTATATCTCGCACTGACACTATGGCAATGGCACATTCCCCGCAAAAATATTAAAACATAAAATGTAGACCTTCATAAAATACGAACTTAGCTCGTAATAAATAACTAAAAAGTATATTAATAAGAAAATGTTACATAATATAACTGAAAACAACTTTAGAATACTTATTTTAAGTAGGCATATACCGAATTTAATATGCGCAAGTACAATATAATTTGGCCTTAGAGGTTTTTATATGGTATTTTTCTAGTTACCGGCCTAAGACAGAACTGAAAATGATAAGCTTTCTAATTTCATAATTTATGTAAGTTATGTAAATGTAATAAACACTATGTCGAAAAAAAAATAAGTACCTATGTACAAGCCAAGATTTGGTTCTGTATCGACCAATAATTTTGTTTTCTGGATTTATGTTCACTAATTTGAATCTCGGTATGTACCATTAAAAAAACTGGAAGTTTTGTACATTGGTTCTAAGCTGTTTTTGGCCAAATTTACAAAATCGTTGATTACGAAATAGTCATAAAAACTAGTATGTCATGTACATAACGTGCTATGTATTTTTAAGATTTAAAAATTGGAATTGGTTAACATAATTATAATATATAAAAAAAAATACGCGGCATACATACATATAATAAAAAAACGATCAAAAATGTTTCGATCTCCGTGGTTGGTATTTATCTTATTTTAATAATAATGTGATCGTTACCCTTTAAATACAAAAATAATTAGATAAATCACTAATTAGTTTAACAATTCACAAAGTTTGAATTTCGTCCTTGAAATGGTAGGTTACGTAGGTAGATGGATGTAGGTACCCGAACTGTGAATTGGAAAACATGTGAAACTATGCAAACAGGTGCGCAATATTTTGATTTTGAGAGTAGGATATTGGTTTATGGGTTCAAATAGGAGGTGGAATAGTTTCGCACTGGTTAAAAAGACTGCGATGTCCCTTCGTTGCGTCAGTTCATTAGAGCAACAGTTGCCGTTTTAAAACAAAACTACCTTCCAAGTTAAATGCCATGGCACGTGGCGGCACCGTTTAACATAGATCTGTACAGCACCCTCAACACTCGTAGACCTTAGTGCGGAGATCGCCTGAGCGGTCTGTGTATAGGTGCTTACATTAGCAAAACAAATCGTTCTAAAAATTCACGAAACTGCTTGGGTGGGTCTATTTCACATAACTGTTCCCAACCATACATACTCAACAGCTAGATAAAAATAATAATTGCTTTGGTGTGTGGACGAGCTCACGGCCCACTAGATGTTACGTAGTTACCAGAGCCCATAGACATCTACAACGTAAATGCCGCCACCTACTTTGAGATATGAGTTCTAAGGTCTCAGTTTACAGTACAACGGCTGCGTCGCCCTTCAAACAGAAACGCATTACCCAATACCGTCTTTACCATAAGGGCACACGGGGCCCGTGCCCAGGGCCCTCATTCTCAGGGGGCCCCGAAAGACCGACAATTTCTCTCACACGTTTATTCTCAAAACATTTTTTCGGGCACATTACACTTTTTTCACAAATCGGTAATCAGAAGGTATTTACAAGGCATATACTATGACTATGATAGAAGATTTTGGTCAACAGAAATCCCGAAAGAAACCGTTATTGAAATCGTAACCAAAAAACCAGCAGCATTCTAATATCATTAATGACATATTAGATCATACTGTATTTGATTACCTATAATAAATGGTCATACTCAGTATTTTTTTTTTATTATAATTCGCTTTTTTTACTTTCCAAAAGGGCCTCAAATTCTTGTGTGCCCAAGGGCCCCATCCTAGTTTAAGACGTCCCTGGTAGTACCTACCCGTGCGGACTCACAAGACTTTCTACCACCAGTAAAAAAGTGCACGGTAGTTGTTGTATACTGGGCATAAATACATTACCGAGGTCGCTTCTTGGGGCGGTGAGACTAGGGGGCTGGATGAGCTGGGATGTTGCTCATAATCCCCACACACGCAGAATAAGCGCAGTGATAGGACGTCGATTTGCGGAGATTTCTCCTCAAATCTTCTGTTGTCATATTCATATGGTAACAATGTGTTTTTGAAAAAGGACAAGTTTTTTAAATAACAAATATACAATTCATCCTTCAGTGTTATTTAAATGGTTTTTCATCTTTGTTTCATTGATTTCAGGTGAAAGTGTTAGTAAAATTAGATCGTAATACAGTAACTTAACGCCGCACCGTCATTACATATCGAATAACAATATTTGGTGGTTCTCAATGGAGTGTGTCGTGGTGGAGCTGTGAGGGTTGATAGTAACAGACCTATGTGAGCGTGTCAGTGGCAGTGTAGTGTATTGGTGTAGTAAGCAGGCGAGGTGGCGCGACTCGCAAGTGATGCCCATCGCGGTGATGCAGAGGCATGGTAGACGCGGCAGCGGAGCGTCGGGCCGCCGTCGCCGCCGCGGTCTGCGATGCTACTTCCAGCCTCACCAAGTGAGTACCCCTCACGTTATTTACTTTATATTAATTAGAGGACGAACACATATTCTGATATTCTGTATACCGCTCTAGTTTATCTTTGCCATAAAGACACTATGTCATATGTTGTTTAGATTAAATAATATTGTTGAATCTTACTAACTAACCATTTATAATTTTTATTAGTAAAAGAAGATATTTTTTCGTGGTTTACATGTGAAAACATATATCATGAGCAAGGCCAAAAAAAAACAATAATAGTCGTAACAATAATAGTGGTCGTAATTAAATGATGAATGCAGTTTGCATGTCCTCATAGCGTTTCCAAACTTCATCGCTTCCCAAAAATACGCCGCGTCGTTAAACTTTTTGTGTTTTGATTCTATTGTGAATATTAGATTTAGACATTTAAGCATAGAACGTAATTTATAGTTGAAAGGTTCTTGATTATTGGGAATTTTTTCGACCTATATTACATTTCGTAAAAAAAAGTTAATTGCAAACATGAACATAAACAGGATACACGATAACTAGCAATGAAATGAGTTTAATTGATTCATTGCTCTTCGGTGCGCATGTCAAGTCATCACTATTGACCGTTGCCATTTCGCCGTTGACCCGATGCCCAGACGATCATTCTATTGAATTACTATTGATTGATCGTCATTTATAAATGCCGCGTGTACGTAAGGCCCGCTTGGCGCGGGTGTCTCAAGCATGCCTTTCATGCAAGCAGGGACGTCTTAAACTAGGATGGGGCCCTTGGGCACACAAGAATTTGAGGCCCTATTAGAATGCTGCTGGTTTTTTTGTTACGATTTCGATAACGGTTTCTTTCGGGATTTCTGTTGAGCAAAATCTTCTATTATAGGCATAATATATGCCTTGTAAATACCTTTTGATTACTGATTTGTGAAAAAACTGTAATGTGCCCGACAAAATGTTTTGAGATTAAACATGTGAGAGAAATTGTCGGTCTTTCGAGGCCCCTCGAGAATGGGGGCCCTGGGCACGGGCCCTTTGTGCCCTTATGGTAAAGACGGTATTGCATGCAAGATATCACAGGTTCAAGAATGAACACGCAGAAAAACAACTATATTTTACTTAATCAGGTTACATAAAGGTAACAAATTTATTGATGGCATTAATAAGGCACATTATGATATGAAGCTCTATTTTATATTGTACTATACTTTTTATCGCGAATTCCGATAACCGTAACATAAAAAAGCTTAGGAATGAAACTAAATACAAAGTTATTTGCTAACTCTTCTGTAAACTCTTTTTTCTGTCAAATTAAACAATCCGTGTAAATTTGAGTACATAATTTGGATGAATATCAGAGAGGAACTTAAGTATGTCTTTATGAGATAATAAAACAGGCCAAGCATAATATATAAACCAAAAATAAACAAAAATAATAAAATCGTAATACTTTAACGATATCAGGTATATAAATGGTTACATTTTTTTTAAATTATACATTTTGAGTTGCAACACTCATTTTAATTTTTTAAAGACTTACCACACATTAGAAACTAAATCCATTGGATAACTGAAAGTTTTACTATGGAAAGGTTTATTTTCTTATTTCATATTTTATCAAAAAGAACATGTCATTCTGACCAAATGATGTCTATTTCACAGTGAAATTACTAATAATAAATAATATAATACTAAAAATAAACAATTTTGCTTAATAATAACACTTCGTCAGCAATGTTTTGTCTGTAATAATTGTGCATATTTGCACACTCAAGATAAAATTCAAATACCAAAAAAATTAAACGATTATTACGATCCAAATAAATAAACAGTCGCGTCGTTAGCTCCATAGTGAATCGACTATTTAAACATTGATAATGTAGTAATGTTAATGTAAACGCATCGATCGAACTCTTCGAACCCGCGAACCGTAACTTGTGTATGGCCAATTGTTTTATTAGGTGTAAGCTGAGCCGAGTACGCAATACGAGTTGCTTGGATAATGAGAGCACCGATACATATGATACGTATCGTCGTCACGGCTCTGCGTTATCAGGGCCGCGGGCGATTGTGTAGAACAACGCTGAGTCGCGAACTCGTGTGTGTGCTTGTGTGCGTCAACAGTAGTAGCGCTTCCAGGAAACGCGAGTAGTTTTCTCAGAACTGATTGAATGTCGCATGCGTTTTCAGCAACGAATTATTGAATGAATATTTCTCGTCCTTTTCTATTTATTGTTATTTTATAAGCACGTATTCGAAAGTTTGTTGATGCGTTTACTCATTAAAACTGTTTTATTAAACTATGTTATAACTGGTAGTAGGAACTCTTGTGAGTCCGCGCGAATAGGTACCACCGCCCTGCCTATTTCTGCCCTGAAGCAGTAATGCGTTTCGGTCTGAAGGGTGGGGCAGCTGTTGTAACTATACTGAGATCTTAGAACTTATATCTCAAGGTGGGTGGCGCATTTACATTGTAGATGTCTATGGGCTCCAGTAACCACTTAACACCGGGTGGGCTGTGAGCTCGTCCACAAATTCAGTTATTCGAGAAATATTAATTAGTTTACTAATGGAAAATCTCTTCTATTATTCTTTTTTTCGTAATTTAACCAAACCTCATTCGTTCGTCAAGTTGTTGGTGACCCTAATTGCTGCGTCTCGGGTACGATTCTCGGTCGAAATGCGTTACTTTGTGAGATATTTATTGCACAGGGTCTATTTGTTTTATTTTTGTCTCGTATGTGTTTTCGGTGTCCGTAACACAGAAGAAAATCCTAGCTTGGGCCCCATGGGAAAACTTGAATACGACGGATGTGATTTGAAACTTGTTGAAACGGAAATGTCTGAGAAAGCTACAACTATATAGAGAAAAACTTTCCACTTAAAATGTATATAGTATTTAGCCTGCGTCTTAGATAGAAATACCTCTGAATTTTTCCTTTCTACCGCATTTGACCTGCAGATGTGACTTTTTTTTTAATTCTGTATTAGAGCCATACACACCTATTAGGTTAAGTCGGCTCAGATATGATTTTTTTTTATTGCTTATATGGGTGGGCTCGTCCATTCGGTAATAGTAGTTTCCATTAATTAAACGAAATACTAGTAAACTTGAACCTTGACCATGTTTAAATTAAGACTAAGCATAAAATTATTATGTAACAAAATTATGGAGATGACATAATCGATTTTTTCCGACGACATCAAAAATTACGAATCGCGTATCGATGAAAATTATATCTTATTTTTATTTTTTTATTGCTTAAATGGGTGGACGAGCTCACAGCCTACCTGGTGTTAAGTGGTTACTGGAGCCCATATACATCTACGACGTAATTGCGCCACCCTCTTTGAGATATAAGTTCTAAGGTCTCAAGTATAGCTACAACGGCTGCCACACCCTTCAAACCGAAACGCATTACTGCTTTACGGCAGAAATAGGCGGGGTGGTGTTACCCACCCGCGCCGACTCACAAGAGGTCCTACCACCAGTAAAAATGTTTTTGTGTGTCGGTGTTTTTTAATGTTATAATCGCTTATGGATCGTTAATTTTAATTTACATTGGACGTTCCTTTAAAGTAAGTACCTTCCAAAAGATCTTCAAAATAAACGTATTACGAATCAGCTCCAGCTGATGTTTTACATAAATAGGCAGCTCATATTCATAAAATATAAAAATAGTCTTTATAGCCCAGGAAAATGGATTTAAAATTAGTTCAGTGATTCCAGAGATAATATTCGTTTTCCGATATACAAACTTAATCATATAATAGCATTTATAATAGTAAAGTAACCGTAGCTAATGAATTTAACAATATTTTAATAAAACGGTTTGTATTTAAAAAAAATTTAAAATCACGCTGCTATGAAAATAAGCAACTACTAAAATTAATATGGTTTTCAAATTTAGCTTCTCAAGATATCAAAATGCATTTTCAATGAAAAATCAATATTAATTTATATTTTCTGTTAGGCCTAGTGCGAGTTCGAATAGGTACTTATAGCCAGATTTTTGTATCGTAAAAGAATTTTGCATTCCAGTTTGAAGTGTAGGACAGCCAGTGTTAAAATACAATTGAGACATCAACTTCATTTCTCGAATTGGCATTTACTTGCAAAATATCTAGTAACCATTTCCTATAATAATTTTATGTAAGTCGTGAGCTCACTTGACGATCTATAAAAAATAAAACCAATAACGGAAAAGCAATAGCATTAAAATTGTATCGAAATTAAATTTAGGTAACGTAAGTTCTAGTTGGATTCTAGCCTACCTGCAAACAGTAACAAAATTATCATTTTTCTCTGTTGGTTGTACTATGTTTAAAATCATTCGACCCTGACAAAATTTTTGCACGAACATAAATAACTAGTTTGCAGTTGACCATCTGGTTAGAGTGGTTGAAGTTGGCTGCTAGGTGTCGCTGTCAGCTGCTTTGCCGCTAATTCTGTCGGTGACGGTACTGACGGTGCAAGAGGCCGCGGACGGCGGCGAGGCGAGGCGGGGACTATTTTCGTCTGGCGGCCACGTTTGGAAAAGGCGCGGTGACGTCACGATTCTCTACGGCGATGATGCCATCGCATCGGTCGTCCGCGACACACACCCGTGGACTTGCCAAAATATCGATGCACGTTCCTCACACATACTGGCTACGATCAAATAAATTTCGAACTCTATATTTCTGAAATATCACGTGGGTCTGCAATCTAAATAAATAAAATGTAAACTAACTTTCTTTCGTATCTAGTGCATACAACGACTTGTAGATGCATGTATTGTACCCACACATAAATTTTAATAAGTAGGTAATCGTAAATTCAGTTTTAGATGAATTTGGCAATGATTTCTTTGAATTGGAGCAAAGCCAAAATCATTTTGCGCTTCATTGTTTACTTTATAGTGACAAGTTCCTGAGTGAGGCTATATAGACTAAGATTTTAGATTCATATCGTATGAACTCATGCTTGATTTATTGGTACTAAGTCTATTTTTTGTTGTATGTCGTGATACTCGTACCATTAAACTGGT